TTCTCCTTCTGGTACCCCTATAATTCGGATGTTGGAACGTTTAAACATGTCCTGGAGGTTCCTAAGCTTCTTCTTGTTTTTTTTTGAATTCTTATTTCCCCATTCTTTCCTGTTTGGTTGTTTCTTTCTTCCTTCTGGTCCACTCTATTGTTTTGAGTCCCGGATTCCTTTCCATCACTATTGGTTCCCTGTGCATTTTCCTTCATTTCTTTTATCATAACCTGCATTTGTTCATCTAATTTGTGACCAAAATCAACCAATTCTGTCAGCTTCCTGATCACCAGTGTTTTGAACACCCGTGTTCATCTGATAGGTTGGCTATCTCTTCCATCACTTAGTTGTATTTTTTCTGGAGCTGTGATCTGTTCTTTCATTTGAGCCTCCCCCCCGCCCCCGCCCTTGATGTGCCTGTTATGTAGCAAGGGGCGGAGCCTTAGGTATTCACCAGGGCAGGGCAACCCATGTTGCTGTGTTATGACACTGTGTGTGGGGGCGGGGTCCAAGAGGGAACAATGGTGCTTGCTCCACTCTGTCGGATTTCAGTCACTTCCCCCACTTTCCACAAGCAAATTGGGCCCTTCTGGTGCTGATTCCTGGGTGGGTGGGTTTGTGTACATTCTAGGACCCTGTGGGTCTCTCCAATAGACTCTCCCGTGAGGCTGGAAATTTCTCCCACTGCTGCCTCAGCCCCCACAGGTATTTTCAATCAGTGGTTTGAGGCTTTATTTCCCCAAGCTGGGACCCTGGGTTGCTCAGTCTGTCCCGCTCCCCAGTTGTTTCTCCCAGTTTATCTGCGCACAAATGTGGAAATGCCCAGTTGGCAATCCGCCGCCTCACAGGGTCTGCCAGCCACTGCTTTGCCATGAGTCCTCTCTGCCTGGCTGCCCATCTCCACCCCTCCTACTGGTCTGGATGAATGTTTCTTCTTTAACTCCTTGGTTGTTGGACTTCCATACAGTTCGATTTTCTGTTCTGTTTTTTTTGTTTGTTTGTTTTTAAATTGTTGTTGTCCTTCTTTTGGTTGTGCAAGGAGGCACAATGTGTCTACCTACGCCTCTATCTTGGCTGGAAGTCCTTGTCTTGTTTTTATTTTAAAATCTGGTTTCCTGCAGGTCACCCCTGGGTCTAAGTGGCCTAATGGTCAGCCAATGATGGGACAGAAATTGTGCTCAAACACCTCAAGCTAGTAAGAATTCCGTCCTCTGATAATGGGTTAGTGTGTGGGCAGGGGAACATATTCAAAGTTCAGGCTGTTTTCAATTCTGTTTGGGCTTTTACTTTTACTGTCCACTGGCCCTTTCACAACTCCTGTTTGCATGAACCCTCAGGGTTAGCCAGGAGAATATGGCTATCTTACACCCTATGTTCCCAGCTGTAACTGTGTACAAACCTCAGCCAGGAATACACTTGCCCCAGCCACAACTGTAACTTCAGGCCAGTAGAATCATTGGCCCTTTCCCTTGTTCCAAATCAAGTGACCCCTCTTTGACTGTGGCAGCAAAGCTGTTGGTCCTTACAGCAAACCCCCACTGGGCAAAATCTTCATGCTGACTGGACTGGGGGGAGGGCCAGGAAACAGGAAAATTCCCAAGCAAGGATGCCACAGATTCCTGTTGTTATTACTGAACTTCAGTAGCTGTTCAAGCATGAACACTTCTCAGATTATTGTATGTCCTTGGCTGATTTCCAGAATATTAAAAATGGCTGTTTTCATCATTTTTATTTTCCAGCTCTACAGTTGCTTCCTGGGGGAGTGGATTTGCCCACTTCCTCATTTGCCATAGCTGGAAGTCCCACCCTCCTCAATAAACATTTGATAAGTAAGTAAATAAAGCCCACATAATCTTTCTTCTACTTCTACCACTCTACTGAGACTATCCCACCAAAAATTATCAGTTGTTACCTAGGCATTAAAACAGGCTCTGGGTAAGACAGGCCTGTATTGAATTCCAGCTGTCCTTAGTAATTGTGCAATTGATAGGTATACTTATCTTATCCTAGTCTTGTTTTTTTCTTCTGTTAAATGGCTAAAATAATGCCTGTGGTGTTACTGGGAGGAGGGTGGGGTCTGAGTAAGTGCCTGGGTGGGCACTGCAGGGTTCTTTTCCGACATAGTGTTTACTAGGAGGCCTGAGCTCCTGTTCAGGCTGGGAGTCTGGGTTGTCTCTCGGCCTCTGTTATCACCCTTACACTCAATGGAGCCATGGCTGGTGGGAAGGCAAGGGTAGGATCATGGAAATCCTTTGAGACTGGATCTATTACACACAACTAAAAGGTATTATTATGCCTTATTATGAGGTTCTTTGGGAACTTTGTAAAAATCCCCCTCTTTGGGAAATTTTGGTCAGAGTAGAATTTCTAAAAATAGGGAAGCTCCTGAAATTACTCCCCTAACTTCCTTTTTCCCTGGATATTGTAACCATTATAATGTTGAGATCTTCTGAAAGACCAGGATTACAGAAGTAAATCCTTCTAAATCACCAACTCACATTTTTAGATGTTTCTTTTTCTAAGAACTAAAATACATCGCCCCCCAGATCAAAAATAAAATGTCAATTTAGTGGTTAAAAATGGAGAAGGAACATGACCAAACAGAATGCTTGGAATTTGAAATAAAAATAGTGTAGTGAGGCTATCACCATTTAGGGCCTTGCTGGAAATTCATCTTTTTCTGCAGGAAATGCATGTTTAAAAAGAGAAGAAAAAACAATTGTTCTTTGCATGTTCCCCGAAATTTCTTCCTTACTGTCCTTTCTTTAAGTAGCTATGCACCATGTACCATGCACTATTGTTACTCGTTTTCTCATGAGCAGCCAGGCGGTCAGCTGTGAAGGCAGGCATGGTAGTTCACTCTCTGCATCCTCCTCGATGCCTGGCACTGGCTCTTGCTATCACCTGCAGTCAGCAATTTCGCTCATTTTTACTTCCTTACTCAGAAACCTTCGGTGGCTCTATACTGTCCCTAAAAGTGGTCCTCGAATTTTTTTTGGTTACATGTGCCTATCACTAAACCAATGTTTACATAGCCTCTCTAATACACACATAATTTATTTTGAAATTATTCATATACTATTATACTTTAATTTTATGTAAATTATAAACATTTACCAAAATAGAAAGTTTGAGAGGATGACATGGAAAAGTATAAACAGTTTGTAATATTTTCTCTCTGTACCTCTTATAGAGCCCACTCATTAGGATAAAATCCAGGTTCTTTAGAACCAGTCTTCAAACGTGAGAGTACACAGCATGGATGGGACTAAGGGGCTCAACTTCCAGATTGTGAACTACCAAATGTCCCCTCTTCTTGAAGTGAGCTGCCTGGGAACGGTGGGCATTGAGCCGATTTCTCTTTTCCAGCCGCCCTTTCCCAACTGCTCTGGCTTTTCATGACAGAAAGGCAACCCTCAGCCACCCTGAACTGTGCTTTGTCCCCAGAGGACTGGATGACTTGAGAATGCATCACGCCTGAGGGAGAATCTCTTGAGAGCCAAGTAAGAAACACTGGCAGGGCAGTGCCTTATTTCATTCCCTGGACAAATTCCTGGCAGGCCTCTGTGCCTTGGACAATGCTATCTTAGAATTGGAAGTCACTAGTGAGGTTGTGGAAGAACCTGTAGTAATATAGTGTTTTTAATTATAAAATGAAGTTAAACTTTTTCTGATACAAAATAAGTTTAATTAACTGATTAAGTTGACTCTCTGTATAGACTGGTTTTGCCAATTAAGTCATATTTTCTACCAGTGGAATGGGCTAGATCTATGGCTCTACATTTTTTATGAAAATATATGCAAAACACATTGTTAAAGCAACTCCTTTGTGAAATCAGCATTTTGACTGTAAGAGACATATATACCTAACCCTAGGGTCCAGATACAAATGATATACAATATACCAGAAATGTCATCATTTGCAACTATTTCAACTTCTGATGACCACTACCTTAAACTAACATTCACAATATTCAGAGCCACCTCAGACTCCTTCCCGTCTGGCCTCCTCTCAGGCCCCTCAGGCCCCTCAGGCTTTGGCTGACCCACACTCATGCTCCTAGGCACTCCACCTGCGCATGTGTTTAAGCCAACTCGTCCATCAGAAATACTGTCCCTCCCTTCTCTGTGTGTTGAATTCCTACCTAACACTTGCTTGATCTGTGGTACTAATTAGGCACTGAGGATGCAAAATGAATATAATAATAGCCTTGACCCCATTTTCATAGGTTATAAGATTCTAGTATGGGAGACAGACAGATAAGCATTGACAATGTGGTATTCCAGAGCTATGATGGGGAACCATGAGGTGTTAGGAACTCAGCAGAGAATACCCCCTTTTTTGGGGGGGATATCACAGAAATCTCAGAGGAGTGGCCAAAAATCCAAGACTTACTAATAATGTGCAGGAGTCAGCCTGACGTTTTGCAGGGAGGGGAAAGAAGACTACTGGTCTACGCTGAGAGAACAAAAGTGAATTGAATTGGCACTGCTAAAGCAATTCCTCTGTGAAATCAGGGTTTTGATGGTAAGAGACACACTTTCCTAACCCTGGGGTCCAGATATAAATTTCTACCACTTCAATCTATGCCATGTTTTTGAGAGAATTGTCACATTCTAGCAAAGGCCCGATTTAGAACAGGCCAAAAGTCAAGGGAGAGGTCATCTCTAGAAAAATTTTCCCTCACTATTTGCCAAACACAAAATATCTGAACCCCAACCTCGGTTTCTGGGCAAATGGGTAGTCTTTTTATATTGGGTTAACCAGAAATAGCACTCAGTGAATACTCTCAGGACATCTGTGAAGAAACTGACAGGTAGTTTGTATATGTAGCTTGTTCTGAGGGTGGAATCACCCCCTAAACAAACAAAATGAAGTCAGGAGAAGCACAGAAGAGAAAGCATTTGGTTTCCAGGAACTGCCTTGGGCCGTACCAGAGAAAGAGCCTGGGAGGACTCAAGGTACCTGGTTCTCACTGCCGCACCTCTGATCCCCAAGCACGAGGCCTTGGGAGCGCCTTCCGTGAGATGTGCAACTCTCCACTTCATGCCATCACTGACGGTGCTGGTTTGCTATCGAGCTACTGGTGTCTACGAACGACTCTCCTCTACAAATACATTAATAGAAGAGAGATGAGATAGATGTAGCATCAGCCCTCAAATATTTTCTTTACTGCTCATGATTTGGTACCCAGTGACTCTGTTCATTCAAAATAAAAAATATACTTGCTTTTCTAGTTCTCTATACAGACCACCCATGTATTATCACAATGGAATTTTATTTTATTTTTCATCCTGTTTTCTTAGTTATCTTCTTCGAGCACCCACAAGGGTTGACATTTTCTCTGACACTATTCACCGTGGCAGTAGAATCACTAGGTCTCACTCATAATGGCTTAGTTATTGAAGCATCAAAGGATATCTTTATATATGCCGACTGTACAGGGTCCAGCAGAAGTTAACACCTGCTTGAGTGTGGCTGGTAGGGCAATAATATGAGTGTAGTAATTTGTAGCTTTAATTTGAACATTTCACCTAAAATGTTATATGGTGTGCTTGAGTGTGATATTGCTATGTTACAGAATTACATGTTACAGAATTGTTATTATAAAAATTACATGCTTATGGTATTGTAATAAAAGGCTTTGTAATAAAAAAGGGGTGTTACCTGTGCCGGACCCTGTATATGGAAATCATGTGGCATGGGCCCCAAGGACTACATAACCAGTGAGGTCCCAATAGGCTAAATTGTTGGTAAAGTTACTTCTTCTCTTTCAGGAAAACCATTATAAGCTCATTCCAGAACACAAAAACTTACTTTTGTTAGAAAGTTATTATCAAGTTTTAAGGGTCAGAACCATGTTTGATAACATTTCCACTACAAATGTTACCATCAGTAATACTACATTTTTCCAGATGGGTGGGCCAACTGTAATTCTGCTTTAAAATTCTGATTTCTACTAGTTCCCCAAGCATTTCCTGATTATGACCTTTGTATTTTTTTCATTATTATTTTTTTAACACTGAAAGCCAGGGCTTTATTTTGGTCATTAGCATCCAGTAGCACACCCCTGGGTAAGGGTCATGAGTCTCTCACCTCTTCGATGGTACACATTTGATATTAGTACACCTGGGAGGCTAAACCTAGGTAACAAAGGATAATACAAAGGACAGATGATGGGCATCCTTTCAGCCCACAGCAGAGTCCCATACCCCTTGTCTCACTGCTGGCCCCACCAGCCATGCAGTCTGTTTGCTATGGGGAGGAACATGGAGGGACAGATGAGGCCTGACCAAGTGGGCTGGAATCAAAACCAGGTAATCGTGCCTTAAAATGGGCTTGGCTTGGACTTGGGAGATTGGTTCCTCCTCCTAGCACACCTGACCAGCATCTCTTCTAAGTTTGGACAGCTAGCAGCAGAGAGGGCCAGGGCAGGGGTGAGGCAAATTCTGCCCACCAGTGGGACTCAAGAACTCTTCTGACATCCTCCCTGGGGTCTAAGAATTCAGTGAAAGTGAAGGACCCAGAAACATGCACATTCATATAAGATGGGGAATATACGCTGCAAATCCAAGGGGGGAAAGCAGCCAAATTGGAAGCCAATGTCGGGCAGTACAGGAGGAAAGGGATTCCTTTTCTTTTCTTTTCTTTTTTTTTTTTCAGTTTTATTGAGATCATTGACATGCAGCACTGTATAAGTTTAAGGTGGACAGTATAATGGTCCGACTTAGGTGTAGTATGAAATGATCTGATTATGGCCTTTGAAAAGTTTGCAACAATGGTGAAGGCAGGTTTATGTTGATGTATATAAATGTGTTTGCAAATGGGCTTAGACCTTTGTGTGGAAAGGGTCTCAAGTCTCCTAAAAGAAAATCCTCAAGTAGATCAGAACAGACTTAAGTGTTTGGAAAACGGTAGCAGAGATTAGTGACTATAACCATGGCCATGGACACCTATTAACACCTCTTCGGTCCCAGATTAATTTTGTTTCTGTCACCCTTTTCACTTTTAAAAGTGCTTTCATTCAGCAAAATCAGTCCCATTCAGGAGAACAAATACACTGTGACTTGTGTTCCTAATACTTTTCTGTGTACAGTGATGAAAAATACAGTTTCAGTTTCAGCCTTGCACCTGATAGACATGTGGGTGTAACGAAATGAATTATGCCTCCTCTTCTCCCAAAGCCTCAGGTTTTCCTAAGAAGACACCTAAAAAACATGTCACTTCATTTACGCCCAAGGGCTCCTCAAAAATGACGTAATTTTCCTGCAGAGGTTCAGTTTAGTCTCATGTTTGATGGGTTCATTGCAAGTGAATGCTACCGTGGTGCCAGGGTCTTACCCCGCATGAGCCTCACCTGCGACACAATCTCTCCTTCCTGGGAGGGGCCATGCAGCGTCGCAGGGCGTCCAGCAGATGGCGTCGCAGCTGAATTTACGGGAGCTGCTTTCTGTGCTGGCAGAGTCTGGAATAAACAGGAAGGGGAATTTTTATAAAGCATTCTAATTTTCAACACATATTGCCTTTTCTCTCTTTCTCGAGTCAGAGGTTATATTTATTTTACTAAGTTGAAATTAATTTGAGTTGTTTAAAAATTCAGTGATTACACAATCCCAAATACTTTATTTATTTATTTATTTTAGAATTTCCACTCTTTCAAAGCACCCAACAAGCAAGTTTTCAAGTATCAGAAACTATCACAAAGGCATAATGGTTCAGAAATGTTAGCAGGCAGTGCTGGCTGCCTTAAAAAAGATCAGCAAGGCGTGCCAAAACACAGCTTCGCTGGGCCACAGCGGAAATGACTTCCGTGGTGAGCAGGGCGGTGGCAGGGGAAGCCCGGGAAACAGCGCCGTCTGCTGGTGGAAACGGGGAGCCAACGCCTGCAGCGTGCTCCTGGCCACGGAACAGGCCCGCCAGACGTTCCAAACATGGTTGCACTCCAGGCGCAGCACGGTGTGCCTCCACCAAACAAAACGGAAAGTCATGGGCCCAACCAGAGTAGCCTTTGTGTTGAGAAAAGAAACCTGGAGGTCCATAATGATTTTAGTATACAACGTTTCAAAGGATTTGATTGTTTTTAATGCTTCCTAAAGCTTATTAAACAGGGTGGATTTGATTTTTGTGGTATAATAATTACTTAGGACAATCCTAAAGGAGAGTCAAAATAGAACCTGATAGGGAGTCTCTTTTATTTATCATATCCTGCTTTAAGTTATTTACAAAATATTGAAAGAGATTATCAGGAGCAAAATGGGAAAAAAAAAAAAAAACCCAACAGGCAGGGGTTTGAGTTTTAAGGTGGTTGTGCTTATTTCTCACCATGGCCCCTCATTTTTATTCCAGGACTGTTGCAGTGCCATTTTAGAGTCCCTCCTTCTCTCCCCACTTCCTTGTTCTCTTCACTCATTTGACAGGAGCCTCTGCAACCATCTGCTTAGAACACGTCATCACCATCCACTGGGAGAGAATTGTGGTACCACCCTTCTCCCCCTATGGCTGAGCACACAGAAAGATGAATTGCGCTTCTGCTCTTGAGCCAGCGCGATTGTTGGGAATTGTAACCTGCAAGATGATGCCAAAGTGCAGCTTCTCTGTTTTTATACTGCATAGAGCTTTACGTTGCCCTTCATTAAGCTGATGCTTTCTTTTACAAAGCTCTGTCCTTCAGCTTGCCCAGATGATGTGCTGATACCTTCTTGCCCCTTCCACATACAGAGACTCAGTGCATTAAGGGTAAGAATCGTCCATCTGTTTTTCTTCTAGTAAGGGATAGAAGACCAATGAGTGGACATGTTATAGAAAGCTACCTGCAAGAAAGCCATGGGGGCCCGGATCCTAACACAAAGCCAGAATAACAGCATACCGTTTCTCCCCCCATCAATGAAAACACAGGGCTAGGAATCCTTTCCACTGAAGAACCGATATGATCAGGCTAAAGGAAAGTCCCTAAAACTGCACTGTGCAGTAGCTCTTAAGACTACATCCTTTTGAGCTATCCCGGGTGGAGATTTAAAAGGCTAATGAGACACGTACAGTCTCTGGGCATGAAGACCCGCTGCACTTTCGCCGGCTCACCAAAGGAGAGACCTGAAAGATCAACCAGGGAACGGACTCATCCAGGGCTTAGTGTTTCTCTCTCACATCACTGTTTTTCTCTCTCTTTCTCTCTCTTCCCTTCTCTCTAAAAATGAATAAATAAAATCTTTAGAAAAATAACGCAGCCTCGGCAGAGGTTCAGGAGTCACATCCGTTTTCAGTGTGCACTCCCTGAATGCATCAAGGTTTGGTCTCTTCCATCTAAAAGCCTAATGAACATTTTCTGTTCTATCATCACCTCCCATGATTTATATCTGGAGAAAGACAAGACCCTACACTTCTTCGGTTGGTAACAATTTGGACTAGTCATGCTGTTTATCATTTCTTCGTTCTTTGACATGAAGATTCCCGTCTCCCGAGAGGGCATAGCTGTAGGCATGAATTATAGGCCTTGGTTCAAAACAGGTCCCTCTCCCTCATCCAGTAGCACAAGAAACACCATAATTAGGAGCCCAGCTGGACCTGAAGGCTTCGAGGCTGGGCTCCCGTGTCCTGTACGTGACCACTTAGGCTGTAGTCTTCACAATCTGGATCCAAGCAGATGAGCATGGAGAACTCAATGTTTGGAGGACAAAGAGGAATGGACATATAGTAACTTGGTGAATCAGGGTGTTAAACTAAAATTTTAACTTCCGCAGCTGAAAGCCTATTTAAAAGAAAGGGTTTATTATGCCATTGGTAGCAAAAGAAGAAAGAGGAGAGGGAGAAGGAGACTGATTTTAGGGCATAGACTCTAAACCACCAGTAGTCTGGCTAATAAAAAAAACAGTATGATCATTATCCTGGAGTTTTGCAGATGTCTTTATACATCAAGTATGCAGGAGAAAGATGTAAGTCATCCTGAAAAGATTTACATTAGTTATAGACAAAGGGATGGGAGAAGGTGAAGTGGGGCTAGTTCTAGGGTAGGTGTGGCAGAGTCCTCAAGGAAGCAGTGTCCACGCCTGTGAATTAGCTGTGGGTAGCAGATTGGAAAGTTTGTGTGTAAATAAGTGTAAATGAGAAGCGGAGGCTCCTGGGGTTCAATGGCACCTGGCTATCCTCTCTTTTGGATAATCTCAGAAATAACCACCTAAAAATAAATCATAAATTTCAACAGCTATATAGGAAATGTGAGCAGTCTTTTGTCAGAGCTGGTCTATAGCTATTAACAGGCTAAATATTCTGTCTCTCGCTCTCAGGCCATTGTAATTTTAATTTAGAATATCTCTGATGGTTTTTTTTTTTCCTTGTCCTGAGACAGGACCCAAGACAATGCCTGACATTTGCTTATTTACAGGAAACCTGAAGTAAAGGAGAGGAATGTCTCCCTAAGTGTTACTATATTATGAAAGTGTCCTTTGGAAGAAGAGACATGAACAGGGCAGCTGATAACAGTAATATTGAGCAGGCAGGCACACATCTTCCCACATCCCCAGGATGGCTAAGCCAAGTGTTACTGAACTAATCCGTGGGGACCCAGCTCTAAGCCTCTCCTTGCTGCAGTCCTCAGAGGGAGTCGGCTCAGACAAAGCAAGCCGGCTTCTCCAAGGGGGAGGGGTGCCTGCCTTCTCTTTGTTCTTCCTTAGAAAATGGGCTCTCTCTCAAGTTTCACACACCAGGTACATTTACCTCTTGCAAGAGGGCAAAATAAATTCATTGCTAATAATGATTTGAAAAGCATATTTCAGGGGCCCTGAACTCTTGCCTGTGAAAAGCAGGGCTGATCTTTACAATTCTAACATGCTGTACATTTTTATTCTGGGTTTCAAGGCAAAAATTTCAGAAAGTTGCACCTCTTTACCAAATAAAGCTAAAAACAAAAAGATTACCTGTTTTCAGAAAGGGTGGTAGAATCCCAATTAACCTAATCATTACATGTCCTGCTCCTTAGACTTAAGAATGTTTTCTTCACAGAGGTATGATTTAACGAGTGGATTCCTTTGTCCACTAAGAAATCCCTTCAGCAGTAAAAGGGCTCTCTGAAAAATAACACCTTTTCACACTGTGATTTTTTTTTCTCATAAGAATGATTTAACATAGCTCCTTTAAACAATAAGAACAGTCTATCCCCAATTTAGGTGTGGAATTAAGACAAAGGGTGCTTGTTCTTACATCAGCAATAAGCCTGTCACTCTCAAGCACTCAGAGCATCTGCTGCCTGGACTGATTCTTAAATCAAAAGCTACATGTGGCTTCTGCGCTTGGCAGTTGAGGTGGTGCTTTATGTCCAGCTAGGCCTTCTGGAATGGGTTACACACACAATGGAAAATGGGCTCTGTGGGTCTGAGAAAGCGTCCTGGACTGAGAGGGGTGAGGCTGAACTTTTGGAAATACTGTAGGTTTATTTCCTGGGAATATACCATCCCCCACCCCCAATAGGACTTTTCAGTCCCTTTCATGTGGCATCCTCAGGCACTTAATGACAGTTCCTACTCTTTGGGGATTTTAATCCACTCCCTAAATACCAGCTATTTTCTCTGGAATAACAGACTATCTGCACGTTTCTACTCAACCAAGCCTTAGACTGCGTGGGGAGCAGCTGCTCACCAGCTTCTGGCGGCCGCGCTTCCACACTCTCGAGGGGAAGTGAGAGCAACCCCCAGCCAGGAAACCAGCCCTGTGTTTGCTTATTATCTAATGGTTCAAGTACTTCAGATGAGACCCAGGCTGGCTTCTAAAATAATTCTGAAGCTAGATAAGGAACACATAAGCAGGAGTTCAAGGTAATTAGTGGAAAATTTTCATAAAATAGCCACTGGGCATGCATAGCCATAATACCACCCTGTGGTTATGTTATTATCTGTCAGCCAGAGAGCATATTACAGAATGTCTCTCATTTAACAGGTACAAAGTTCTTCCCAGCGCTACCCTCGTACAGTAAGTCCCTTCACTGTGATTCCTGTGAGCACTCCCTTATGTTTCACGCAGTACTCAGCAAGGTATTAGACATGCAGCAGGCACTCAGGGAATACTTGTTTTTTAAAAAACTATGGACTGAAGGAACAATGAATGGCTGTGCTTTAATCCTGAAATTAGGCCTTTCTTTATTGTCACATCTGAGGAACCTGGAAGTGATACTTTATAGACAGAAAACCGAAGTGAGTGCACTGCGACTTCTCTGACTGACTTTCCTATGTGCCAGAAATTGTATGAATCCTTTACATGCATGACCTCCTTTAAACCTCACCACAACTCTACAGGCTAAGTTTACTATTATTACTACCCTTATTTTACATATGACAAAACATCACCCAAGTCACACAACTAATAAACAGCCACGTCAGGACTCGAATCCAGAGACCTGTCAGTCTCCAGAGCCCCTGCCTTTAGGCACATTCCTGCTCCAGAATATCTAACACAACATTCCTAGCTCCACGTACCAACCATCCTTCTTTGAGGAACTGCTTCCCAACATGATATCTGAAGAGGGATGGAAGGAGGGAGACAGAGAAAAGGGTAAGCAAACACAATTCATACATGTGAATTCATACATTCATACATGTCTCAGTATACGTGGTTTTGGTGGTTTTTCCTCTGCATTATCATTTCATCTTCACGGCACCCTGTCAAGTATGTTATTACTATTTCTTACATATAAGAAATGTATTTCTAGAGAACTGGTGGGTTAAAAAAAAAATAAATGCTAAACTTCTGCACCTGAGAGGTAACAGATCTGCTGAGGACACTGTATCTGCCCTAGGCTCTCTCCTCAGCTCGGAGTGCTGCGGTCGGTGCTTTTTACATTTCCTTCCTTCCCCACTTATTAACACTCCAATAAGCCAGAAAGCTTATGCCCATCTCTACGTACCCCATAAAACAACCATGGTTAAATGCTGGCTTGTGTCACTAAGGGATTTCAAAAGCAGAGGCGATGTAGAGAGGGAACAGTAAAATGACAGCACATAGGATGCTATGTAACAGTTGAAAACAGTGAATTAGTTGTAAACACACTGCCGTGAAAAGATCTCCTGGAGGCACAGTAAGTTAAAAATTAAAAAAAAAAAGGCACATTGCAGAATAGGAAGTACAGCATGGTACCATATGTGTGTTTAAAAGTCACACACACACAAATGATGCAAACACACAGCGAAAACAAGTAGGTTATACCCCAAATTGATAACTGGTTTCTCTGGGGAGAGGACTGGGTCCAGGGTGAGGTGCACAGCATTGGCAGACTCTTCCTTTATCTCTATATAGGATAATTTATTCAAATATGTATGTGTAAAAGGAAAAAAAAAGGACAGAAAAGAAACGAGTGATGCTGTTAAAAAATAAAAGGTGAACAGCGTGCAGTAAAGGTAAGTGGTACAAACACACCACACTGAAATCCACCGCCTCATCAGGTCCATAAAAGATCAAAGATTAGAAGAGAGTTCTCATGGTGGCATTATTATAATAAATTAGATGGTGTTTAAAGTGTGATATTTCCTGACTCCACCAGAAATGCAGTGCTGAGAAGCACTGGGAGCCAGATGATCTGGGTTCAAGGCCTGAGTCTGCATTTCTCTGTATCCTTAGGCTAACTTCCCGGGGCCTTACTATCCTTAGTCTATGGAGTGAAGGTAACAGTGACATACTTCACAGGGTTCTTCAAGGATTAAATGAGATAACACATAGGAAAAAATAGCAAAATCATGCCAACTGAGACTTATAACTTATAAGTTGTTTGTGTTTACTCTTTTCTCATTCCTTCTCTCCCACTTCAGAGAATTTTTTCTCTCACACTTTTACGATGTCTGAGCGCCCCACTCCGAGGCACTGTTAAGTGAATAAGCCATTAGTCTTCAGGATAAGGTTTCCTGATGACAGACAGGCCTCTGCTATTTGAGTCTTTAGATTATGCACAGACAGAGCTTTTAAGCTTCAATAACCTGTATTCAGGTATTTTATTTATCTTAGGGAAGATATTTTATTTGATTCCATTTATAAAATATGCCCTTTTCCTGTGAAACCCACTTCTCATGCAAGAACTAAAATATCCAAATCAGGTAGGCCATTGAAAAGCTGAAAATAAAATTTAAATTTTTTGCATTTTAAATTAAGCTTATTTGTGGTCTTACTGAAACTTCAGGCTGCTCTGAAATTTCAAGAATCCAGTTATAAGCCTTTTAATGAAAAGGGTTATGAAAGTAATAAGAGAAATGTTAATACTACCAATATAATTAAACACAAGAAACATGAACAAATTAATAAATATAAGTTGCATGCACGCAGCACAATGTCACACTACATGATGTAACTATTTTCAATTACAGCCTCACCTTTGAAACACAGCCATGTCCTCTTCTGCTTTTTCTGGGTGTACATATGTTAAAAAGCTCAGGGACCTGAAGATTCCTGGTGTAGTAAATAAGAATCTAGTTTAAGTTGTCTTGCAGTTTGAGTCCAGCAAAGATACATCTGAAGGAACCAATTCCAAGCACACAAAGCCCACAGCCCTCCCAAGCTCCTCCACCCTGTTAAACTGAGCTGTCATTTTAGAGCTGGGCGCCCATTGTTCACTTTCTCCTACTCTAATTAGACTTGACAGATTGCTCTTTCTAGCTAGGCTGGCTATTACCAAGAACAGACAGAAGAGATGAGGCTGACCTTGTCATCATGCCCTTGGGACTGGTGCCCCCTCCTCTCAGCCTAGCCCACAGACACTGAAATGCAGAGCCAGCAGCTCAAATCTGTTCCCCTTCTCCTCCACCAGCCTCATTCTTCTATGGCCCCTGGCAGTCTCAGCACAAATGACTTTTCTTACTTTCAGTACTGTGAGACTCAAACCCTCATAGGCTATGGGAGTAGAATAGTGTGCTCTAATATTTTTCATGTTAATATTCTGACCTTGTATTTTTCTGTAAGCCTTGGGAACAAAGCAGACCAGCTTTTCTAAAGGGAAAGATACTGCAGTTGCCCCTGGAGCCAAGAAGTATTGATTGCTAATGAAACAGGGCTCGGGAAACACTGAGACCCCTGAGCTGCCTTCACATGTCCCTTGCCCTGCTGCCCTCAGTTTCCACATCTGTAAAATACCATAGGTAATTCTTAAACCTTTACCATATCAAACACATGTTATAGTGGTATTACATAAGAATTAGATAATAAAATGATAGAGCTGGAAATGATCTTAGAGATCATCTACTCCAATATCTTCACTTGGGAGATTAAAAAACACAGGCCAAAAGAGGGAGGTGACATGAAATTAGTTCACAGACTTTAAACACCTGGCACTGAACAAATAGCCTGCTAATCAGCATTTTTCCAGTTATGCTATTCTTGACAATAAATCATATTGGCCAGGAAAGCAACTTTGTTTGGGAAAGAAGTTCTCCTTATCCAAGGACTATGTTTTCAGAAATGTTTCCCCTTACTGAGAATCCATGGTCTTGTAATAGAACCTGAGTCACCCAAAGCCACAGGACTCTCGTAGGCACAGTATGCAACTCCACAGGCTGGAGGTCTGGGGCCCTGCTATGTGAGTCTGGCCTCAAGAACTGTGAGCAGCCTGGCTAGTGTGGCTCAGTGGATTGAACACTGGCCTGAGAACCAAAGGTCGGCAGTTCGATTCCCAATTAGGGCACATGCCTGGGTTGTGGGCCAGGTCCCAAGTTGGGGGATGAGTGATGTCTTACACATTGATGGTTCTCTCACTCTCTTCCCCTCTCTCTAAAAGTAAATAAAATCTTTAAGAAAAAAAAGAGCTATGAGCAGGAGACACTGTTAGGAATTTCTTCTGGGAACAAATCTATTATTTCCCAGGTTGCAATGTAAACCTATTCATTTATTGTTAATTCACCTACTCATAAGCATTTATTAAATGCCCATTTTTTTCCAGCACACCCAGGGGCTGATAAGACTGGTACAACGAATAGGACCCAGCCTTAAGGGGCCTCAGAAAGAGCCAGCAATGCAAACACTTATGTGCAGCTGGACACTGGGGGTGCCAGGATGGAAGAAGGAGATGGTCAATTTTCCTTTGTTGGAATTTAAGGAATCAGAAAAACATCATAGTGGAGGTGGTACTTGAGCTGAGCTTTGGGAAGTAAAGGTTGTTTTCCAGGTGGAAGTGAGGTAAATAGATGGTATTCAGACAGAGAGTGAGCCCCGGGTTTTGAGGGCAAAAAGTATTTTGGCTTGCAAAGTATGAGGACAAAGATGAGATTGGAAATTTAGGTAGGAATCAGTGAAAATATTATATGACAAAGGAAAAGTCTGAATTTTATTGTGGCAGTTCATGGGAACCATTGGAGAGTTTCAAGCAGGAAAGTAGCATGATCCAAACTACATTTTGGAGAGGTGGCTCTGATGGCAGTGTGGAAGACTGACTGGGGAAGGGGTGGGAAGGAGCAAGACCCAAGGCAAAGAGTCTGTCCGACTGCAAAACCCGAGGTAAGACGAGACAGCTGACCTGATCTCCTTAACAAGTCAAGGGGGAGGGTCAAAGGAAGAGACTATTTTTGTTTCCTCTTGGAAACTATGTGCAATGTGTGGCCCTTGTTTGGATCCTAATTCAAACCAACCAACTGTAAAGAGAAAATTTGGAAGACAGAGTTTTAGATACTATTAAGGCATTCTTGTTAATGTTGTTAGGTGTGACTATGGTAATATAATAAAATAACATAGTGAAGTGTTTATGAGTCAGATGTCACAATGTCTGGATTTGCTATAAAATACGGTAGAAAGAATAGATTAATTATGGCAAAAGGTTAATAATTATTAAATCTAGATGATGGAAATATAGAGTTCATTATATTCTATGCATATTTGAAATTTTTCAAAATGAAAAACTAACCTTTTATGCAAAAGGTAATGAGAACCTAAATTAAATAAGTTACAGTGAAAATGGAGAGGAGGACAGAACTATGAGAGAGAAGAAAGGCAGAATTAACAACACTCAGTGACTGGTTAAAAGTGGTCACTGAAGTTGGGAGTCACAGTGACTTCTGGGTTTTGGTTTGGGTGCCTGGGTAGATGGAAAAGGGTCTACGCTGTTGGGAATGTGGAATTGGAGTTTCAGTGAAGCATTGAGTTAGTGCTGTCCAGCAGGCAGTTGGACTCAAAAGTGTGAAACTCAGGAGAGAGCCTGGGGCTGGTAGCGTGGATTTGTGAGCTGCCAGCTCACCAGCTCATAAGAGGTGAGTCAAACCATTGGAAGAGCATTGAAGGTGAGAAGGGAAGACAGCTGAGGAATAAGTCCAAGGCATACTTACATTTAAGAGGTGGGGAAGAGGAAGAAATTGCGAAAGAGACTGAGAAAAAATGGCCAGAGGGTTATAAGGAGAAACAGGAAAAAATAATTTCTAATGAATCTGTCAAGAAACAATGGATCACACCTCATGGTATGTCTCAGTTGGTCGGGTGTTGTCCAGCAAACAGAAAGGTTGCCAGCAGGTTCAGTCCCCTACCAGAGCGTGTATTAGAGGCAACTAATCGATGTTTCTGTCTCCCTCTCTTTCTCCCTCCCTTTCCTTCTCTCTAAAAATAAATAAATAAATAAATAAATATATTTTAAAAAAAAGAAACAATGGGTCGAGAGAAGCAAATGCCCCAAGTTAAGACATGAAACCCGATGGATTCAGCATCTAAGTGACAACTACCAAAGAACTTTCAGGAGAGTGTAATGTGTTAAAAGTGAATGAGGGGAGAGTAGTGAAGCCTGGAAGATGGGGGAGGGCTGGACTGCATGTTCCTCACAGGAAGAGGGAGTTGGCGGGGAGGGGCTAGCAATGGTTGGCAAATGGGCAAGCTCTGAGTCCAATGGGATGACCAATGGCCTCTGCTCAACAGAGCTCAGTAGAAGTGGATCGCTGAGCAGGGATGGGAGTGGGGCTGAGGGAAACTTATAAATTTCAGTCAGTTAAGGCAAGGAGGAGGAGGAGGGTAAAGAGGTTAAGAATACAGGGATGGTACAAATGAAACCGTTCCAGAGGGCACTGTGGAGAGCGTTTACAAGAGTGCCAGGAGTATATGAGAATCCAGAGGGCAGAAGTGTATTCTTTTGACCTCTGGCTGGTGTACCTTCACAACCTCTTCAGTGGTCTTCCACATGCAGTTTTCTCCACTCCATGTCATCTTGCAGGTATTAAATCTGGAAAGCACAGCCTTTCTCATGTCAAACTCTTGCCCCAAAACTTTCATTAGCTGAATTAAGTATAATACAGATTTTGAAAGCCCTTCCATAATCTGATCCCAACCTGCCCGATCGTTTTGGGTTTGTTTGCTTGTTTTGTTCTGTTTGCTTTTTCATGAATCTTCCTTCAAGAATGCCAGGCTACTCACTATTCTCTGGACATATTAATTACATAAAGTACAGACAAAGTTTGAGACGTGTCTAGCATATATATGTTAGTTTTTAGATACTGAACTATATGATGCCCCTCCAACCATTGCATGCGGTTTTCTTTGTCCTAAAGTCTCTTTTCACATTTCTCCACGTCATACAGGAAGATCAGCCCAGGTGTCACCTGCTCGAGGAAGTCTTTCTTGGGTTCTCAGGCTGGGCTGTGGGTGCCCTTGTCTGGGCTTCCTGCAGCACTCCTACCTCGCTTGACACTCAGCCTATTTGGGCACTTATATGTCTGTTTCTCTCATTAGAGTATAAGTTTCCTGAAAACCAAGGCTGTTTTTCAGTTTGTTTTACCGAGCACAATACATGCTACTATATATAGTTAAAAATATATATGTATAAATGTGTGTGTGTATATATATATATATAAAACAGAACTTTGTTCCCTTTTCTCTTTTCTTTAACTGCATTTTTATATAATGTATGATAATGTTTTCTTATGTGATATTCTCACTCTACTCCTGGATGGCAGTGGACATTATTTTTGTCACCCCAGTGTCCCTTCCTGTTCTTCTGGCAAAAGGCCTGATTTTCTTTGCTAATTCTCTGCTCTTGGTCTTTGTGATCTGGATGGGGCTCCTCCCACCCATTGCCCTCCAGGGTGGAGGACAAGACACACACCTAAATCAGCCAGTTATCGTCCATTCCTGAGGCCTCACTGATTGGTTTAGGTGAGCATGAGCTCTAAGCTTTCCCAATCCCAGCAAATCACAAGACTTTCTTCAGAGTTACTGGAAGAGGGGTTCTCTTCTCTTTCTCTTTCTGCCGGACAAGGATGGAGTGAATAGGAGGGCAGGGCTGCTGTAGTCATTTTGATGCCTCAAGGAATAAGCTTGTTTGAGAACGAAAGCAATATTGGAGAGAAAACAAGCAAGAGAAAGAGAGATGGAAACAGACTCCTAGTGATGGAAATAGAGCTGAATTCAGCCATGAATTCAGGGGGAAAAAAACCCCCACCAAACTATTGCTTGTCAGTTTGTGTTGGGTTTTCTGTAATTTGCAACGA